TATAAATGATTAAAAATATTATTTTATTAAAATATAATATAAAAATTTAATAATATATAAAATACAATATTGTACTTATATTTTACTGTATATTATATATGACTATATATTATATTATTATTTATAATATTTTATAATATAATAAAATTTAATTTAATAAAATAAATAAAACATCATTTTATAATTTTTATTAAAAAAACTTTCCTTTTACAATAGAAGATAGAGGTAAATATTTATGTTGTCATAAATAAAATAAAATAAAAACACAATGACTGTATAAAATGAACAGTCATATAGAATTTTGGGTAAGGGTCAGAGGAGATCACCCACTGTGGTTTGGATGTAACAACACACTTGAATGGTTAAGAATGGCTTTTAAAAGCACCAGAGGGTTATTGAAGGCAACAATTAGAAAACATCAGTGTCTAAAGCGTTCAGATTTATACACATCAGCTGGAAGAGGTAAATAATTGGGTTTAACAGGTCCCACATTCTTTTAGTAATAGTTAATCAATGTTATTAGGACCTGTTAACAGGCATGCAGTCCAGTCTGTGTCACTGATAACAAGGTTGAGGAGTCCTGTTACCATCTGCATCTGTAATGCATTTAGGGAAGAGTGTGAACAGAAAAAGAGAATTTCAGCCAAGAGGGTCCGGGAAGTGAGGAAATTCCAACTGACAAACTGGATATGGAAGACACTGACGCATAGGCCAAAGAGCAAAAACAGCACAAGCCTCTGCACGCTGACGTGTCACTGCATAAAACAGTCGCTTAGAGGATTATTGTGACTCAGTCTAGGCTGAGACTGCTGCTAGGACTGGACCCAAAGTGTGAGGAATTCAGTGAAGTCTGCATCATCTACAGGAACTACAGTTAGGAGCGAACAAAATCACTGGCTCACTCTCATGTCATTCCAAACCTGTACAACTTACCTTCTTCCGTTGAATACAAAAGACAGTTTTTTGCTCTTTTGTATGCAATGACAATACATGAGGACTGAAACTTTCAAGCATAATAACAAGACACAAAAAACATTAAATTACCATCAGTGTGGCCCTATATTTAAAGTCATCCAAAGCAATATAATAGCTTTGAGTGAGACACAGGCTATTACAAATGGATAATTTATTCAGTCTAGATTGGATTTGTGTGATTCATGAGCATATCAATTTGTGAACTGGATTAACCGATTCACTGAAAAGATCAGACTCAAAAGAATGATTTGGTCAAGTTTTCAGACTTGTATACTGTTTCTCACATAAAGCTATCATATGACTTGAGAACATTTGTTGTAAAGTGTACAAGTTGTATAAACTACTTTTGTGATACATTTAGAGTACTTGTTCAATGCTTGATGACCTCAGGCCTCATTCCATTTTAATTATATTCATAGAACATTTAGAAATGCACTAAATAAAGCAATTAATTTTTTTCTTTTTGGACAGGTCTATTACTGCCCCCCCCCAAAAAATTAAAAACATTAAACATTACTCCTATATACAATCACTTGAATACTCCTCCAGTGTATAATCTGTATAATCACCTTTGATGAATTAATGTAATTGTAATATAACAAATTAATATAATTGTAATAATATAGTAACAAATATTTTAAATATCATATGGTACAACCCTCTAAAAAATGTTTTATTAAAAAATAATTTGTGATGTTTGCAATAAATGATTACATATATTTAAAATCACCTTTTGTGTTCCACACAAGAACAAAAGTCATCGAGGTTTGGAACAACATAATGCGAAGTAATTTTCAAAATTTCCATGTTGGGGTGAACCATCCCTTTCATTTTTATATTGTTCCCATTGAATGACTGAAAAATGACAAGCTGTAATACTATACACCACAAAAATAAACTCTGTGAGATGTTGAAACCAATGTGACGCAGTTTGCTTCATATAGTCGGTTGTTTATAGGTTGTGCAAGACATGGGAATTGCACAAGAAACAACTAACAGCTAAACACGCTTCCTTAAAGTCAGGGTAGAGGACTAAGGGTCTCTTGCACAGACACACATACACACACACCTGCTGCTGTTGAAGATGCAGTAAATCCAAAGGGCTGATCTCCCCATTGATGTCACCGTTGGACCCGCCCTCTCTTCCTCCGCCGTCTGACTGGCTGCTTAGGCTGCTGACTCCATTTTGATTGGAGGGTGTTGTTCGAATGGTCTCAGTTGCTGATTCTACCATCATCACGTGGCACCTTGGGGGGGGGGGGGGGGTAAAAATAAAAT